ACCTGGGTTCAATTCCCAGCACCCACATGGTAGCTCACAACTGTCTATAAATAACTTCAGTTCCAGGGGATCTGACACTCTTACACCAATGCACATAAGAAAAGAGAATGAAATTTAATAAATTATTTAAAAAATAGTGTTATAAGTATCTAACTGGACCATCTTTCCTTCTTTTACTTCTTCATTTTGTTATATAGATAGTATAACTTGTATCTTTCATAAATTTTTAAAAATTAATAATAATAATAAGTGTGTGTGTGTGTGTGTGTGTGTGTGTGTGTGTGTGTGTGTGCAGGGATACACAGTCCATGATGTTCTGGTGGAGGTCAGAGGACAACTTTGCTGAGTCACTTCTCCCCTCCAGGTTACCAGGTTTGCACTTCAAGTTCTGCCACCCACCTTTTCAGGGAAAAAGACAGCTCATAAGTCCCATCCTTTTGAAATTACCGTGATATAATCTGTTACCTGATATCTAACATTGGCTTTCAACAAAAGTTTACATACCTACTAAGTTTTTTCACTATTTTTGCACTTGCATAGTTTTCTAAAAATGCGTTTGTATGTCCTGTAATTTATTCTATTCTAGTGATGGACATTTAGTTTATGTTTTCTTTTAAACAATGTAGAAACGAGCCGGGCGTTGGTGGTGCACGCCTTTAATCCCAGCACTTGGGAAGCAGAGGCAGGGGGGGCGATCTCTGCGAGTTCGAGGCCAGCCTGGTCTCCAGAGCGAGTGCCAGGATAGGCTCCAAAGCTACACAGAGAAACCCTGTCTTTAAAAAAAAAATGTAGAAACATTTGCTGTGAATATTCCTGTGCATATATTTTTGGTTCAAAATCATTGTGCAGCCGGGGAGGCAGACAGATTTGAAGAGCCAGAGGAGGTGGGTGACTTCAGGGAAAAAGCATCCACCAGACACAACAGGCTTGATGCACATATGAACTCACAGGACTGTGGCAGCAGGCACAGGACCTGCTCGTGTTCAGAAGCCCAGCAAGGAGGGGAGAAGTGGCCCTGGAGTCCTGTTTCTAACCATGAAGCTACTTGCAGTTGAAACCTGCTAGGAAAGGGAAGATACATTTTCTCCAATGCAGTGTTACTGCATACATCAACTAGATGCCAGGGTTTAAAGAGTTATTTTACCTGTAGAGTAGGGTGAACACATACATACATATATGTACACTCTTGGAATAATCTTGTATTTTCCTGACTTAAGTGTATGTGCAACATATGGTAATAAAAGAAACAAATAAGGCCGGACATGGTGGTGGCTGCCTTTAATCCCAGCACTAAGGAGGAAGTGGCAGGGGGGGAGAAAACATCTTTCAGTGTT